TATCTTTAGAAGCCCATTCAGTCATGGCCTTACATGTATCTGCGACTTCTTCATGTCCATGGCTTTCCACGCATACGTAAGGGGCAGTCGGTTACTATACATTTTACACATGTGCGAGTACGCGTGCTAGACAAACGCACATGTACATGCATGACATGTAGATCTATTACAAGGAGTAATTGCATAATACCCCGCCACGCAAAATTACCCCCTAAAAATCCAATGGCTAAGTAGTCGAGTGGAGGTTGTTCAACTTCCAGGTTATCTTTGCTGCATCAAGGTACATGTACGTATTGTGTACAGTATTGAAGTCATTTTTGAGAACGAAACACTCATTTGAATTACATACAACTCACCAGGGAAGAATAAAATGTTTCTATATACGAAGTGGGCCTTGTGCTGTCCTGCAACGGGAAGTGAATAGGGAAGGTGGAAGAATTTTGTACAGTCCAATGTGGGTCCTAGGGAGTGGCTACATGGATACGGGGATACAAAGTGGGCCTTGTTGAAATGTGACTCCGTATCTGCATATCCGCAGCTATGAGGTGGGTAAGGTGAGTGGCAGGGTATTCTGCAATCGTGCAAAATTTCCTGCAAAATATGTTGTCCGCGGACGTAGGCCTAGCCCCACACGTAGGTCTGTGGTGGCTCTCTTTTACAATCTGTCTCTTATCTGTCGCCACCACAGCCCTACTTCAAGGCATGTCTTAAATGCCTGAAATCCAAACTGCAGGATTTTCACAAACTTTAAATCCAAGTATCTTCCGAATTGAGAATGACTCGACAATTTTACTTACACTGGCGTGTTCCTAAGAGTTTGGACTTTTATATGAGCACCCTAAAGCTTTCCCAAACCGTACATTTTGTGATGTATGGGGCCTTGAAAACTGGGCCTGTGATATTTATATGCTGACCATGGGCGGCGCCATTTTGAAAATGAAAGGAGCGCTTCTTGTGCTGGAAGTCAAGGCAACCAACAGGTGCCGTAGATGTATAATTCATATCATCACAGTATTGCTTAGTCACAAGTTGCGCACGCACTTTGCTTATGTACAGCATGCCCAAAGCACATGTATGTTTCACCCCCATTCAATGTGTGGAAATTAACAACTTTGACCATACGGAAATGTCCTCAGCAACTTGCCAATCCTCTCTTGAGCCTTCTCATTTTTAAGACTTTGCACAAATGTAACAAACAATCACATTAAAATTCTTTGTATGTGCTCTAACAGGGTTAAACCCAAAAAAATACTACAGAATGATGACAAGAAATGCTACATAAATATCAAATTTACCCTTAAAGTGGTTGCTAAGATGATGAATTATTTCCATTTTCAATCAACCATTTGGTCTTTTTTTTTCCACTAATTTCTCAATTTTAGAAGTTTTCCCAGAACAGTGAGACACTGCATACACGTACGACAGGCCAGAATCTCAACTACACAATACAATCAGTTCTATGTACTGTACATGTACATGTAGCTAGATGTTTTGTTCAACTTTCATGAGTTATATTTGATACTTCTGCACAAGGCGATCTATACGTGTTTTACGTGCACAAAAACCGATCCAGCCAGGTACCATGCACAGTACACTGCGACTTGTTACCGCGGTGTACACGTGCATGGAAATTCTTGACCGTTGGAGCCCGTGTACATGTTCATGTGGTTCACATGTGTATAGTACAAGTAAAACTGGGATATATACCGTAAATTTCAGCATTTTCCTTGCAATTTTGTAAGGACAGATAGACCTCGCTTTCAATAATGAACTTCCATGTTAACTTACTGTACTTTTGAGTTCATCTTTTGTTTCCGAGTCACTGAATTCTTGCACTCGCAAAGCCGTAAGATTATGCGGGATGAACGGAATCGGTGCTGAGTTAGGTTGATATGCAAATGCATCCGGTGGGGAAGAAAAAAACAATCTAGCACAAAACCGTCAGCAAGTCTAAAACCTCCACATCTTTCTCCACCACAGCCCATTTTTGAAAACTTAAGGAAAATTTCGAATTCTTTGTTTCGCGTCTTCAAAAATCGCATCAAAACGTAAACAAACTACTACTTACAAAAAGAGCTTTTCACAAAAATCACTAGTTTTTACCACTCTGGAACTATTTTCAATTTAATTTTCACAAAACACATTCGGAAAAAGCCTTAACTTACCATGAAAATATTTTGGGCAGGAATTTTTTTTTCCAAAAAGTGAAAATAAGACGTTAATTTCATGAAATGAAGCAGCTGTTTACCTGGCACGAATTCCCATGGCCCTCATTACGCATGCAAATGACCCTAAAAACAGGACATGTGCAGTTAATAATTTCCCTCCGAAACATACGTGCATGACGTGAGCACGTGTGTGGAGCATAATACAGTGACATGCATACAGTATTAATGTTATTCAAATTTAATTTCACCAGTTCCTTAACAGGGAACCAGTTTTGTATGATACAACCTATACCAGAGCACCTGTCGGGTGCTTTCAAATCCGACGCAAGAAGCGCTGCTTTCGTTTTTTAAAATGGCGCCGCCCATGGTCAGCATTCAAGGCCCACTTTTCAAGACGCCATACATCAGAAAATATACGTTTTGCGAAAGCTTTAGGGTGCTCATATAAAAGTCCAAACTCTGAGGAATACGCCGGTGTCAGTAAAATTATCGAGTCATTCTCATTTCGGAAGGTAGGCCTAGGCCTATTAGGATTTAAAGTTTGTGACAATCCTGCAGTTTGGATTTTGAAGTAGGCTAGGCCTAGGGCTGTGGTGGCAACAGAAAAGAGACAGATTGTGAAAGAAAGCCAGCACAGCCCTACATGTGCCACTAGCGTAGGCCTAGCTAGTCCTGTTTAGTAATTTCAACACAGCATTTATGGAATTCGGGACAGGCCTAGGCGCCTACATAGTAACGGGTCAACTCGTACCCGAGTCAACTCGTACCCCAAATTTACACCCAAGTTAAGTCATACCCGAGTCAAGCCGTACAAAGCTTAATTCGTACCTGAGTCAAGTCGTACCCAAGTTAAATTGTACCCTATGAATTTCCACACTGAATGTGCGGTGCGGGGTTCGGTCAACTTGACCGTTTGCCAACTCGACTTCGAACAACTCGACCGTTGAGACAACTCGACCGTCCGTGCGTGAAAGGGAGAGACAAGTCGACCGTTGAGACAAGTCGTCCATTGAGACAAGTCGTCCGTTGTCTCGGGTGATATATGTCACTCACTGCGAGTGATCCCAAATCCTTTTTTTCACACTCAACAGTCATATAAACTCTTTCTTCTAATGTCTGTTTAATCAAAATGACTATCAAAGTTGCGTTTTATTAAAACTGGCCAAAAACTGAACGCATACTGTTTCCTAGTTTTGGATCACGCATTAAGTGCATGCACAATATACTTTGCGAACTCAGCTCGCTATACGGACGTTGCAGAAATGTATGTGACGTAATGGGTTCGTCACCTGTGTGGCACGAAGTAGTTATCGTTGATGACTTGCGCTGTGCAGCTGAAAAAGTTGAGTCGAAATTTACACAAGATCCAATTTTTTTTAATTCATTGGAATTCTCATTTATGAACCAAGTTTACTAAATTGAGGAATTTTTCATTAGAAAATATATATAAGGTTTTTACAATTGTTCTGGCTGAAAATAGATTTGCTGCTCGCGTGGTTACTTTTCGGAAACCCCTCCAGAACTGGGAAAAGCGTCACCACTCTTGTCGATCCTGTACGTCCGAATTAAAAGTTTAAAATTTGAAACTGAGGTTGGTATCTATATCACATAAGGTGGACGGTGACCACATCTCATTGGAATTTGAGGATTTTTGTAGAGCTGCAATCTGACTGAATAATTTTGCGATCTTGGACTAGGATGATGACTGTATTATGTGAAGAAATTTCACTGGTCGAGTTGTCTCTCTGTCAAAGTCGAATTGTCCCAACGGACGACTTGGCAAACGCCCCAGTTGTCTCAATGGTCGAGTTGTCTCAACAGTCGAGTTGTCCGAAGTCGAGTTGGCAAACGGTCGAGTTGTCCGACATCCCTGTGGTGCAACTCCTTCACACCGAGGCATCGCTGGTACACCTGCAGATGAGGTTGGTAAAGGAGTCCAAGCTTCACCAGTACCAGCAAAAGTGATTCAAGACAATGCAGGCGAAGCTTTTCAAGATCTGGCAGCAGTACCAGGTTGGGGAACTGACGACGTCGGAGCTTCTTTCTACCTGCAAGCACCTGAATGGTCCTGCACTGTGGGACAACCAAACCAAACAGCCCTTTTCAGGGCAACCGCTATCAAACCAAACGGCCCTTTTCAGGGCCACCACATTTTCCAAAAAGAGATACATGTATGCTTTACCTGCAAAGAATAAAAAATAAATGATTTGTATATTTTTTTTTTAAGTTTAATAGAGTATTTAAAAATTATTTGAAATATATTTTTAAAAATTTTCTCGTGATAGAAATCTCTAACTCGTTACCATTGTTTTCACCGGCAATCGCAGGGTATGTTCGTGCTGCCTTATATTCTGAAACTAATTCTGAGAAAAAAATATTTGTTGAAATCCCATCACTTGTACTGACTAATGAAAGGGGTACGAGTTTACTTGGGTACGAGTTAACTTGGATACAACTTGACCCGGGTACGAGTTAACCAGGGTAGATGACTTGGGTACGAGATGACTCGGGTACGAGATGACCCAAAATCGTCTACATTATAGGCCTAGTACCTGTAGGCCTATACATACATGTACAAATGCAACGAGGCACTTGTGAATGACATTTTGAGCCGTCTTCGCCAGGTAAAAATGTGAGAAAAGGACATTGAAAAAACGTTCACATTGTAGGACTAGGGAGACTTTTATACCCTGGACGTTAGTCGCAATGCAATGTCCTACTCCTAGGACTAGACGACGTCCAACCTGTCCTAACATGCCTAGTCTAGGCTAGCGAGTACTACGGAGTAGTGACTAGCATGACTAGCCTAACATTATTAACGACGTTACTTACGCCATGTGTCATTAGTCCTCCGAACAAGACAGGTTTCGCCGATTTTAATGTCTGATGACTGCTCTTCAAAATCAATTATCTTACTACCGCCACTGTGCTGGACATTTTCTTTGCCTTCTGCCAAGTTTGATCTCATCACTGGTTGAGTTTCTACTGCATTCTTCGCAGCTTCGTTTCCCTGGCTTTCGGCCATGTTTTTGTTCTGCAGAATCGACTCTCCAAAAACCGAATCCAGCTAGCTGAGAACTGAAATTGACTATTTGTTATCGATTCTGGTGAAAAATATCACATGAGCTGAACTTTTTAAATTGTTTAGTGCTTGTAAGTAAGCTGCAGAAGAAACGTCTAGGTCCACGCCCCAAACTAAACCTTCAAGTTGGTGTGATGTTTCCTGATGGAGGCTTTTCCGACTATATGATTCAGATTCACTGTACCGTGTACGCCTCAAAAGTTGGGGGCGGTATGGCGGGCACTGCATAGAACATGCGGGTTGCATCTCGCCCAGAACATGCAGGCGTTGATCCGCGCGGGCAGGTCTCGAACCCAACCCCCTCACCTGCTTTGAGACAAAAAAAAGGTTTAAAAGCAATTTTACTTGATGCTCCCAAAGAGGAACACCCTTTTTTCTCATTTCTGCAAGTATCATAAATGTTTGGGTTTTTTAAGTTGCACCACCCCTTTTCATAAAACCCAATTTTCTGCTGGCAGAAATTTGGATTTTACTTTGCTGACGGTGGGGTGGTCCAAGAGTGGACAAGTTAAAAACTGGATGGACACTTTCTCCCTACGTTGAAATGGAACGGTCTTGGGAAGATTGGTATCACCCGACCCTGAAAAGAATAAGGTGGACGAAAGTTGCGAGGCTGCGAGAGTGACGGTCCTTTGTACAAGTAGTAGTACTGCAAACGTGCGGAGCCGTCTGTTGACGGGCATCAGGCGTCATTTCCCTTGCTGCATGTGATCATGGCCTTTTTCATTCAACTTGTATTTCCATTTAGCCGATTTTGTGAAAAAGATCAGACCTTCTTCACGTCAAGGATGAAAATGGGATTTATCGGATGGGAGTATTATTTTAAAAGAAATTATTGAAAATAGGATGTCCAAGACTGACAAAAATTATGGTGGAAGTTACTCGGAGTGGCAAAAGTGAACAACCAATTTTTTTATATTCAGATATCCTAATATTTGTTATTCAATCCACCGTCCATGCATTTCACAGTACATGTATCTGATGACTGCTTTGGGCCGTTAATTGCAAGTTTGTGTTTTCATTGCGTTAATATCTCTTCACATTGTCACTTTGAATGATTTCTCTTCATATTAATGATCCAGGCCTCCACTATAACTGCCCACATGTATTGATGACTTGAAAAAAGATTTGAATGATAAATATTAAATTAATCTTTGATGTCTGATCAGTGAACGACTGGTGTACTGGCTGAAAGATTTATTATTTTTTTCGTGGCTATCCGTTTTTTGTTATTGGAATTACTGGCTGAATACGTGTTTTGGAATTATTTTGTGGGATGTCACAATCATATTAGCAAATTCAAGTTGTTTTGAAACTCTTGATTCAATTGAATAAACAGCACTTAGCTTCTTCTCTTGAGATGACTTTTTCGATTACAACCTGTTTTCATTCCACAGCAAATTCAATTATTCTACTGGATTGGACACAATGGTTTTTTCTAACTATAGCATCGTTTAGGGGACATATCACCATGCGCTCATTTACTTAAAATGGAAATTCCTGATGGCAAGCCACCGCCGTCATTCGAAAAATACTGTGCGCTGGGAAGTTGGAAGTTTGCGGTACCATAAAGGACTGTCAGACTTCGGATGGCTCCTTTCCTATGTGCAAGTTTCTCAATAGGAATCACCCACATTTTTTCCCGAAGTGAAGCCATCCGTCGACGCGTCAGATGCAGACAATCGACCCTCTATCGTTAATGTTGGCTGCCCATCTTCCCAAGACCGTTCCATTCTGAGCGTAGGGAGCACAGCGGTCGTTTCAGTTTTCAACTTGTCCACTTTTGGACCACCCCGCCGTCGGCAAAGTAAAATCCAAATTTCTGCTGGTAGAAAATTGGGTTTTATGAAAAGGAGTGGTGCAACTTAAAAAAAACCCAAATATCTACGATACTTGCAGAAAATGAGAAAATAGGGTTGTCCTCTTTGGGAGCATCAGATAAAATTTGCTAGTGGGAATTTGAAGTTTTTAGTTGTCTACTTTTGACGCGCCACGAGAGTTGTTACAGTAAAATCCAAATTTTTGCTAGCGGAAAATTGCGTTTTTTGAAAATGATATACGCTAAGTCCAAAATCCCGAAAATCTATTAGCAGAAAATGGGGTTGTCCACTTTTGACGCTCCATACCCAGCCATCCAATAGAGTGTGGACGTGGGCCGCGCGCCCGCTTTTTTGCATTGGCTTGCTGGGTGGGGGTAGTCCAGTTGGCATCACGGTTCTTTCCTCGCCTTCCACCTCTGCGTCCAGGTTCGCTATACGATCTTTGGTCCACATGTGGATTGAATTTTCAGTCCTTACCTGATTCCGTGGGTTTTACCCAGAATATTCCTCTGGGGTTTTCCTCCGGGGTTTTCCTCCCACCTCTAAAACAGTACCTACTTCCACTGTCTCCTCTCTACAGGTTTCTTCAGGCTTGCGAGCTACAAAGTCCGGGGCGCTTTTGAGGTGTCATTACCAGAAATAATAAATAATGATAACATCACAGAAAACCACGACAGTCTCAAAATTAACAATATCCTAGTACATGTATTCCTATTTGATCTCTCATCACTGCCGACATTCAGGATGGATTCAGGACGGGTTGAGTAGCTGGTTTTCTTTGTCTTCCTCTCCGTTTCCATTTTGGCAAAAGCCATGGGCGAGGTGGTACGTGGGCAAAGTGGCAAATGGGCGAAGCGGTAAATGGCGTCCCCCTTCAGACAGGACATAACAGGTTTACATAAAAATGGTCCTTACCACGCGAAGTGATCCCGCACTCACTGTGAATTCTAACCCCGAACTTCCTGTTCCAACCTAAAATCTCAATCAGCCGAACCAAAGAAAAACGATGGACACAAGTTTCCTTTCCCTGATAATTAAATCTGTCATTTTTCCCCTTTTCTAGATTTCACATTTAAAGCCAAGTTTGTTGACAAATTACAATTGATGTAGAGGATGTGTATCCAAAAGGTACGTATACAATATGCCATTTGGGGTTTCAAAAAGTCATATTCCACATCACAGCGGTCAACAATCGAGAAATGCCATGAGCAGTACAGTACAAAAGTAGTAATAACAAGAAATACACAATGTTTTGATAAGCATAAATATTCAGCGAACAATTGTGAAACAGTTTATCATCACAGGATCTTGATGGGCATTTTTCTTGTCCAGTTTTCTTGATTTGATTTTAAGGAGTTAACTGCATAATTAAAACCCGAGAAAAGGGTTGTCTTAGGCAACTAAGTTTTCATCCCACCTAACAAACTGCATGCCTCTGACAAATGTAAGTTCACAACAGCAGACAAAACCCAACTCCTAAAAAAAAATCAGACCCCTGCCCACCCCTCCTAAAAAAAATCAAAACCCTTTCCCTTAAAACCTCCCCACAAAGTAACTAACAACATGGGAAGATATCATTACAGTTGTGTTCTATTTAACGGCTTAACAATTAGCTAGCCAATAAGTAAAACAGATTGAACAGCAAACCTTTATGACAGTCATTTGAATAACTTGTGACTCCACCGATAGACTAAATGACTCCCGACTTGTAATGCGACTATACTTCACATTGTGAACTTGAACTTTCCTCTCTTTAACAGAAATACATGTAGTCACTGCAGTTTGTGAAGTGCCTTGAATTTTTGTTTCCTTTTTTCTCCGTCTCTATCATGTACACTGCCTCATAGAAAATGGCAGCCTCAGATGAAAATATACATTTTTATCAACTCTCTTCTAGTATCAGGCAATACAAATTAATTTATTAAACTAGTATTAAAAAGGAATAAAAATGTTAATCTGTGCATCTGAATGCATTCTCTAATTTTACTTTGCAATTTATGCTCTTTACAATACTTAATTAAGCAGATATTAAACGTCAAGTTAAATGCCATACAAAGTGTATTTTGTAGTAACATTTGCGTGCCCATAAAAATAAAAGGCAATTTTGGGTATTTTAGTTCTTGAATTCATAAAGCAGAGCAGGTATTCAGCACATGGAAAAAATATAAAATAAACTGGAAGAACCAAAACTAAGTTCACAGGAAAGTGAGTCGACAATTCTTCCTCAATTATATATTTTTTATAACAGGGGACAGGCAGAAACCAAGTTTACAACTGAAGGTCAGTTTGAAATTCTTACCAGATGAATCCAGCCTCTTCAAAGGACCCTTGGTACACTTAAAATAAAATATGTACGAGCAAAGGTAAGAAAAAATTCATACAGTGACAGATATTAGGTAGCATAACTTGCACTGCACAAACAGAAATGAATGATTAACTGACTACTAATTTGTGTTTGCTATAAAGGTTTCACAGAAATTACAGTGTTTTTTAATTGAAGGTACTGAAATACTCTACACATTTAGCTGAGAGAGCTTTCATATTTACTGCAAGATTCTAATGAAAAAGACAAAAACTCATTCTACATAATAGGCAGAGTTAATTCAGTGACTGTGTAAAGATATTTTTATTTGAAATGTTATATAGCTGCACAACTTTTTATGAAGTTGATCTTAAGTACAATGTGCAATGCGTAGCAATGCTGAAATTTGTTGCATAAACTTTTCTCAGTGATAAAGTTCTAATGGCTCAAAGGCTATGTCATGTTCTGTGGAAATTGGCTGCTAGTTTTTTGACACTCCAGGAGTATAGTGCACAGCAACAGCTGTTAGAAACTACTTTTTTCCCATAAACATCACTGGAAAGTACTGAAGCTTCAAAAAGGGCACCCTGTTACTTTCATACATTTCAAAGGTACTACTTTTTTTATGTGTAACTCATTCCGTGTGCTCTTTCATAAAGGTCCCTTTGAATGAACTGACAGTACCATCTGCTTTATCTGTAAAATACAGAACTCTTAAAAGCCAATCCTGCCATACTTCCTAACACTTTTCCTATTGTACCCTTCAATCAGTATTCCTAATGTCAAGGATCTCATTTTTAGATTTTCACAAAGAAATTGATTCTGTACATGTAGTATGCAATGGCTACCCAGAGGGATGCACAAAGTAGACTCATGGCCAGTAACTCAGCATGACTGCCATATACTGCTGTCCAGGAGAATGGGAAATAATCCATCAGAACTTCATGACCACAGTACAGGGTGATGGGGTTCATGCCTGCAAAAGAAAAGTTATTTAAAATATACCCCGAAAAAGGTATTTGTCTTTCTGGCTATAGCTTTGACTTGTACCACTGAGGAAGCATGGCCGTCCATGGCCATCAACAGAAATACCTCATTCGGGAACTCATTAGAAACCTCTAGAATTTAGGTAGCTGCAGAAAGGCACATCATAGCTGGAGTCATATGGCAGTTTCATTGTGGCCACAAATGCATATCAATGGTGTGTCCACACCAGGCATTGGTTCAAGAGGGTGGCCATTTTCTTGAAATGAATGTCTAAATGTCATAATCTATAAAATATCCTCATTACCCTTCCCAAAATAAAATATAAAGGTGTTATTTTCAATTAATAACTGAGAGAGAAAAATGGCTACAAAAAGGGAAGGGGCTCTCACCAGACTGCCTACCCACTGGATGTGCCATTCATGCTTATGTAAACTACATATCATAGTCCAAACACAGCTGATCTGGACAAAGCAGTTACTGGTAATGTTATCAACTTTCCAGCAGGAGCCATTTCTAAAGATGATACTTACCAGCAAAGAAGAACGGGACACCAGACCACCACTGTTTCATATCAATTGTGACATAGCAGAATGTTAAAAGTAGAAACGATGTACCAGCCATGGCTAGGACAAATGACAGAGACCTGCAAACCCAGAACACATGTTGGCTTCAATCAAGATTGAAAACAGATTAACTCAGGGTCTTAAAACAAGTGCCCCTTTCTGAGCAAATTAAAGACAGAGACAAATACAAAGCATATCACAAAAAATAATGGAACTCAGTTGGTAGAGCTCAGGGCTGTTGTTCTAGGGTCACAGGTGAGAATGGACATTTTAATTTAATGTGATAGATGCAGAGGAAATGTTTCAAACACTGCTTAAAAATTATTTTTAAACTTTGGCTTCATTTAGGGAGTGTCTCTCAAAAGTCAGAACGCTTGAAACATTCAGAATTTTGTTAACAAGTGCTGAGCATGCAAGTTTTGTTTTTCCCTTTTGCAATTAGTCACTTATGTTACGGCCTTCCTGCGGGAGTATTTTCCATATTACAGGACATCATTGTTTATTGCGGGAGCGAGGCTTTTGCCCTGACACCATGTAACATAACATTCAATCAATCTGGGACATCATCTGCAAACATTTTTAAAAATAAATCTTCAAATTTGAACCAAACCACAGGTACTGAAGTGCCGCACACGATACACTGGGCTATAGTATGTAATTTACGGAGAGATTATTATTACGGCAGGCTTCTTTGTTTACAGACTTGACAATTATTCATTGACGGGATACTTTGAACTTTTCCAAAGATTACGTCCAAAAAGAAAAACTGCATTGAACCTAATACTGCTTTCGCATTCAGCACCATAGCAAACACCACACCAACGTTCCCTAATGGAACGCTCAGAGAACACTGTGGAAACACCACTGTTCTCTAATTGAATCTGCATTTGCATTTGTGAATGATATGATAAGCTTATTTCCATTGAGAATGACCAAACTAATTTGTATTTCATCGATATCGTGTTTATGAACTTCAAATTGAAAGGGCTATTTAAAACAGGAACTTGCCAGTTGCCAGGAAGTTGTGCCCAGGTATATTGAAATTCCCCCACATTAAAAATGGTTTAAGTGAGTTAGCACTGGTAGGCCTGCTGTGAAACACAATGCAGAAAATGTTCATGCGTTACGTACACACAAATGAAAAAAAACCAATGCTGTACAAAACAGAAATACTTTATCCAATCATTTTTACACAATATTTACACAAAAAATTCAAAGCACAGGAACTGACTCTGAAGTGCAAAATTCTATAGAAATGACTACCTACTAATTGTACGCTATCCAGTATGCTCAATGTACCTTGCTCTAACATTATGGATGTATTATGCTGTCAGGAGCTTCTCCTTCAAGGATATTTCTATTTTTGTTTGCTTTGCATCCCGATTAGAATTTATGATCTGACCGAATGATTTCAAATGTTCCCAGATGGAACACTGACGTCAAAACAGTGTTCCTACAAGACAGCTAGGAGCAACTTGTGTTCCTATTGGGAGCAAGCTGTGATAGATAGGAACAACCAGTGTTCCCAAATGGAACGTTCCAGTGGGATCAACAACTTTCTGACTTTTGAGACGCTCCCTTAGCTGCAAGAATCTTTTCGACTGCAGACTGAAACCATCCAATGCAACAAACCCTATACAATGTACACGATTAATAAAACCACGTGCCACTCACTGAGAATTGCATGGACTGCACAAGAAGCAACTGAGTACTAATAGATACTTATAATGCTACAAGTCCATGAAAGAATAATGCTCTTTCTGTGTAAATTTAAACTGGATGTTAGTTAACACAAGCACAAATACCATGTACAATTTTCATTTTATGAAGAAAAGGCCTTTAAAGTCTTGGTTTCATACTGAAAAAATGTGTTAATGAAATTTTTGTTTCAAACTAATACAAAAAGTTTAAATGATAGTTGCATCACAACTTTCCAAGATTGATAAAAATCACCCGTGTGATTTCTCTGTTGTTCTCCTATTTGTAGCTGTGCTCAATTTCACCTGGTTTTGACAATGGAATTAAGATCAGGCATGACAGATTGACAGAGAGTTTGGCTGTATGTGGAATGGATACGGAAGTCTAGCTTGCTTACCAGAGATTCTTGCTGATGGGAATCCAGCCTTCTTCTTTGGAAGCCTCACACAAGAGGAGAGCAGGTCCACCCTGGGATGCAAGAAAACAACTTGAATTAGGAGTGGCAGTGGAGCATAAAAGTACATGTACCCATGCAGGTCATACATCATCGTGTCAGTGCAAAAACTCCAAATTTTGTGAAAATTTGGGCTTTTCTGGTTTTTTTTTCTTTTTCAATTTTATCACTCCAAGATTGTTTCAGGCAAATTTCACTCAAAATATTGTATCGATATGATGTCATTTATGTTAGAACGTACATATGTATCTTTTTTTATTTGCACACCTTCCAATTCGTACTAAAATGTTGTATCTCAGAGCACTCAACACAAACTGCTATATGGTCGTGTTGGTGTAAAAACAAATCTCAACATTCACTGCAATTGGTATCTTCTTGGGATGTGACATAGAAGTATGTTATTTATGCCATTTTTTTCAAGCTTAATTATCATTATCCCCCCAACAGAAATGTGGGTGAGGTCTGCTATTCAATACCTACCTCAAACAGTCATTAAAAGTGCAAATTCCTTTGCGTCTGATTCAATTTGCTAAAAACTTCTGATCAACAGCAGTGCAACCTGTAGACCCATGATGCACAGCGGAATGGCTGCCATGTTCACCCTTTTCAGGTATGAAAACCATCTGAGCCAAAAGGAAGGATGGGATGGAGCCGACTGTTTGGGGTAGGTATTCAATAGCAGATCTTACACACATTTCTGTGGGGGAGGAGTCTTCTACTTTCAACCTACCCCAAACAGTCGCTAAATATGCAGAGTAGCACAAAGCCCTTGGAGGGGGGTGCGGAAACGACATACTATATAACATGTGCCCCACAGGAGTATGAAATTGTCCAATTTTTATTGCGGACTCACTAAATAATGGAGCTGTTATGTCATTCCAGTGGTGGGCTGCTTTGATAACGAAACCCTCTGCATCGATGTGGCCGATGTTAGGACTGCTCTGCCGTGTGCGAAGTCCTTTTGTAGAACATCGGTGAGGTAGCATGTGGTGAAAGTAGATGGGGTCTTCCAGCATGCTGCCTTGCATATTTCCTCCATTGGTATGCCCCTGAAGTACATGTAGGTCCATGATGTGGTAACTGCTCGGATATCCTGAGCACTGATGAGGCATAGTGTGTTATTGTCTACAGAGTTCAGCCAATCTGGGTTGGTAAACTTGATAGCCAAAACTGTCCATCTGGCTATAGTGTCTCTGGTTGCAGCTCAGTGAGGTTTTATTGAAGTGATGAAAAGCTGCTAAGTTGCACTTCTGAGTTTTCTAGTTTTGGCTCAGTACCATATAAGTTCGCACTGGGCACCATGGTTTGTCGTCGGGAGTCCCAGTGTGTTTGGTATTGTCTGGTACAAAAATGTCAGGAGGATGGAAAGAACCTGACTGGTTCTTGGTGAGAAACCCCAGCGTTGGGATGAGATGAATGCCATGGGGTTCCCATGAAATATGGCCATCTGTGATGGACAATGCCTTCATCTCACTGCCATGACGTGAGGTAGTAATTGCTAGTAGGAATGCCAATTTTACTGATAGGTTGATCAACGATGCGTCGCTGAGAGGCTCAAAGGGGGGCACGCAAGCAGTTGGAGAACAGCTGACAAGTCCCATGAAGGGATTAGTCTCAAGAAACATTCCCGGAGTAGTTGTTTAAGAGCAGTATTGTCGGACACAGTCGAACCATCTGGAAAGCCATTGTGTATAGCCACAATGGCTGACTGGTAGTAACGGATAGTTGAAACCTGTAGATCTGCTTTGAACAGGTGCCTGAAGTAGTCACAGAAACTTCGGTTGGAGCAAAACCTTGCTCCGAACACCACAAAGTAAAATGTCATTATCTGGAGTCATAGATGCTGCGTGTAGACTGGTGTCGAGGCCATTTCGTCAGCTTCATCAGAGAATCCTGCTGATCTGAAGGACAATAGCCAACAGGTCAGGTGTAGTGATGTCGGATGTGGGTGAAGCATGCCCAACTTCAGTTGATGTAGCAGATCCGGTCTGTCGGGAAGGATCACCAGTACCCGGGCGAGAAGTCTGGTCAGACGTGGAAACCATGGCTGGCATGGCCAGAAGGGGGCAATGAGGACACGACAGCGTTCCCGTTAAATCTTGGAGAAAACTGCCGGTATTAGGGATATTAGAGGGAAAGCATAGCCCAACATTCCTTCCCAACTGATTTGAAGAGCGTTGGTTGCCCAGGCTTGCGGGTGGTAAAATCTGGTGCAGAACACTGACAGTTGGGTGTTCTCTGCTGAGGCAAAAAGATCGATGTTCGGTTTCTCTACTTCAGCGAAGATCTGTTCAACTATACTGGTGTGCAGAGTCCACTCCATGGGACATACTTTTCCCCGAGAGAGCATCTGCTATGGAGTTGTCGACACCAGGAATGTGGGTCACCTGGAGGTTGATGCCATGATCCTGGGCCCAAAGGAATATCTGGTGGGGAGAATGCGTGCCTCCCTGGCGATTGATGTGTGACACCACTGTGGAGTTGTCCGAGTGGTTGAGGATTCGTTTACCTATGATGCTCAAGGCAAGCTTTCAGTGCGTTGAATACGGCCTGAAGTTCCAGTATATCCATGTGACTCCCTTGGAGCTGGAGGTCCCATGTTCCGGATGCTTGCCTCCCTGGCGATTGATGTGTGACACCACTGTGGAGTTGTCCGAGTGGTTGAGGATTCGTTTGCCTATGATGCTCAAGGCAAGCTTTCAGTGCGTTGAATACGGCCTGAAGTTCCAGTATATCCATGTGACTCCCTTGGAGCTGGAGGTCCCATGTTCCGGATGCTTGAAGCAGCGGTAGGGAAGCTCCCGAGCCCAGATGAGAAGCGTCCGAGGTTACAGTTATTTCCGGGTTCACCTTAGGGAAGGGAACTCTGAGAGAGATGGTGGCAGATGAAGTCCGAGATGGGGACCTGGAGAATGATCGAGTCCTATTTCGGCCTGTAGAGAGCTAAAAGTTGTAGTGGATGCATGTAGAGCCTGCACAAGGGAATGAGGTCCACTATGCTGGCCATCGACGGAGGCAGGCGCGGGCTGGAGCTGACTGCTCGGTAGAAAAGACTTTCACTCAGTCGAGAAGGTTGTCAATGCATTCAGTCGTTGGTGAGATTATACCTCTTTCACGGTCGATAGATGCAAATAGATACATGTACGTCAGGTATTATGTTTGGGTGAGATTGGACTTCTCGTGGTTGATAACGAAGCCCAGGTGATTCGTGAATGCACAAGTAAGACGGGTAGAAACCTCTGTTTCATTGAACGGTCTTCCAACGATCAGCCAGTCATCCAGTTACTGGAACAGCAGGACATCCCACTTTTGAAAATGAGAGGCGACGATCTTTGCGACCCTCGAGAACACTCTCGGTGAAGCACAGAGGTCGAAGGGGAGAGCTGTGAATTCGAACAGGTTCCCGTTGTACAGGACGCACAGGTATTCATAGCTTTCAGGGTGAATCAGGATGTAAAGGTAGGCATCTGTCAAGTCTATGGAAGAGGCCCAACATGGAATCTGTTGAGATTTGGTGACAGTCTGAAGGGTTTCCATGCGAATTTCTTCAGGCAGATAAAGCGGTTCAGAGGTTTGAGGTTGATAATACATGTAGGTCGCCAGCTGTTGAGTTCCTTCTTTGGAGTGATGAACGTTGAAATGAAGCCCCTGTTCGCTTGAAATTTGGGAACCGGGCGGATAGCATGTTTCCGAAGGAGAGTCTTTAGTGCCTGTTGTTTGCTTCTGTCGGACGGAGGATAGGTACAGACGGAGGGGTGCTTGTGAATTCGAGGATGTATCCGTAACAAATGGTCCCAAGCACCCATCTGTCCCATGTGACTTTCTCCCAAGACCCTGCGAAGAGTTGAAGTTGCCCGCCGACGGGTCCAGGATCGGCAGGTGCAGGCAGGTCTAAATAGTCAGCGACGTCTACTGGGGGTAGCGCGACTCGGTAGTTCTTCCCTTGAAGCTCTTCTGGAGTGGTTTGGTGGGTCGAGAGGAGGTTGGACGGCCACGATTTGTCTGGTAACTGGGTTGACCAAAGGGGGGAAAGGAACGAGAATCACCCTGATGCAGAGGTCTGAAGAGTCGAGGTTCACAGAAGCTAAGTTTATGTGTTGTGTCAGTGCGCTTAACTTCTGACTCCATTATCTCCATGAACTTCCCTGCAAAAAGGTCTTTGCCGTAAAGGGGAAGTTCTTGAAGTCTTGACTTGGTTCCCTCACAGGGAATGTTCACAGCATCTAAGGTGTTGGGTCTGCATGCAGAAGTGGCTAAAATGGAGATCCGAACGAACTGCTCGAAGATAGAGTTGACATTCTCATCGAGCGCTCGACATGCAACTGCTGCCAAGTCCAGAGTAACTGGTGAATCGTTGTCACACGCTCGGGCCAAATGCTCAGAGAGAAGTACCGTAAACACTGTGCAGCGAAGACCATGTCGTGAAGCTTTGTGGAGTTTAGCAAGAGTAGACCCAGCGAAACACTTGTCCTTGTCTTTAAATGGAAACTTTCCAGTAGTCTTGTGAGCATCGGAAGAAAGTTTATCTTAAGCCTCAGTTAGAATCTCAGGGACGGAGAGGAAGATGTCAAAGTCCTCACTAGCAAACTGGAAATAAGTCAATGCTCTGGGTGGGTATCAATGCCATTGTTTGGCACCGGCGAGAACTTTAAACATCTCGACGCATGAGTGGTCAAGTGGAAGTTCCGGGAAAATTGGCGTTGATGCCTCCAACCTAGCAGGGTGGCGCTTGAAGGAAGCATGTGAAGCGGCCTCAGCTGTAGATTGATTAGAAGGCAGGCCTAATATTTGGATCATATCTTTCTGAAGAAGACAGAGCCGTGCCTCAGGAGGGTTAAGACTGGCTGCCGAGGAGAAATCCTCACCTTCAGAGGACATATCCTGTTCCATCTAGAGTTGATCGGAGGAAGGGGGAACGTTGTCATGTCTTGTTCAGTGGCCAGGGGCCGTAGCAGGAAGTGAGCTGTAGTCTGCACTGGAACCTGGGTAAGTCGAAGGGACAAAACCGTCATAGGAAGATCGGATCGTCGATGAATGCAGGTTCGGATGCAGATGCAGATCACCTTCCGCACGCAAAGGGTCCGGATCTGGAGCCGGCGCTGGGGGAACAGAATAGGGCTCTAGGCAGCTGGCTACAGAAGAGAGCTTCTCTGAGAACATGCGGACTGCTGACATGATGTCGGCTGAAGCGTTGTCCTTCTGTGAGGAGTGAGACTTTTTGCACTTGGACCCCGTAGAAGGAGACAAAGAATGCTCGTGCTTCTTGTGTAGGGGAGAACTAGTTCTAGAGCAAGCGGTCAAGGCCTGGTGAGCTGGGGCATTGGAGGCTTGCAGTAAGCAGTGCATCATGGGACTAGAGGGTGCACTACGATTGATCAGAGATTTTAGCAAATTGAATCAGACGCAAAGGAATTTGCATATTTAGCAACTGTTTCAGGTAAGTTGAAAGCAGAAGACTAAAAAATTAAGCTGGTATTGCTTAATTCTATGCTACAAAGTGTTACAAGAAAATATGAAATACACCTACAATTTGAAGAAAATACAAGAATATTTAACAAAAGAGCATTTGCAACTGATTCAGACATGACTTCTTTTTTTTTAGCTTAAGGCTTTAGTTGGAAAGGGGGAAATTCCATCCAAATCCAAGATGATTTAGGGCTACGATGATAATTTGTTATTTTACTAGATTTACAGTATCTCAAACATGCTTTAGTAAATACATGTACATGTAGGACATCGAGGTGTGTTTTAAGCAAGTTATAATATTTTGACTGGAACATGCAGAGTGCATTGTTCAACGTTGAATGTTGATCTCATTCCATTCAAAGTTTATTGAAATTTTATCTAATACATATCAAGATAATGAAGGCCAGAACAAACGAAGTGTTTTTAAATACATCATATGCCTAAAGTTGCATTTTCCTGCAATTTCATTCAGATTAAAAATTTACAAACTTATTTTTTAAATTTATTTTTGCGAAAATTACTTGAAATCAAGACAGCAAATTTTTTCACCGACAAGACCACATATCTACATGCAGTATTATGCCCCTTTGACCAGTGAGGTTATTTTTCTTCAGAAGTGCTCTTTAAGCATGTTTTAACCAGAAGACCACAGAATTAAAAAATGCATGTTACAAATAACTTATTTAGACCTATCATGACTATTGGCATTTTAGCATGCAATACCTCTGGCACTGTCTAAAAGTGCATCACAGCCAGAATGCAGATACATCATTGTCGATGAGCATTAACTACCTTTGCATCTTTTACTAAAAACTGCTCTCTATCCTCCCTAATTCACCACTACGAAGGAAGCCATGGCATATTCCGTTTACAGTACTACAGGCTTGCCGGAGTCTCCATGTTGAGTTCACTATTATTTGAAATTATCTATTATTGCCTACTTGGCCAGGACCAAACTAAGTTTTCATTGGCTGGTCCTGCATGTTATGTGCTTATTGCAACAACTTAATTCCTTAGGCATATAAACTACATGTAGGGTGTTAGAAATTTCACCTGGGACACAGTGTCCAGAACATCCAGAGCTGTAGGATGCTCCTGTGCTGCCATTTGGTTCTGTTTACGTAGGCCTACGTGTATAAATACTGTATTGGCTTTTCAGGAACTTGGGTTTCATTCCATATGGCAGGGTAATTTTTTCAGTGCAGAGGGTGCAGCCCAAAATGGGGCTGGGTTTTGTGGTCTAAAATTACTGGCATTGTAAACTGCTTTCGAATGCGGCAATATTACAATAAGATACCTGTAGACTCCTTGTATCCTACTCTACATAACTGTAGCAAGCAACTGATTTGGAACCACACCACTTATTTATTTTTCAAAATAATAAAAGCCGCCAGAAGTTTTACATGGCAACTGTTGAAGTTAATGGTTCGTTTTGGATTTTGGTTTAATTTGCATAAATTTCACTTATTAATTTCTTCTGAACCAAAACTATGTGTTTCTAGCTTTTGGGTTACCGTCCTATCGATGTAAAATAATTACATCATGATTTGATTCATAACCCTCCCCAATCCTGACAAATATCCCAAAACCAGATTTTAAAAGATGGGGGGTGTCAGCGGTTATTATGGCTCGAGTCAACTGGCTAAACTCACCGTGATTAGAGTCCACAGAAGAAGTCGTATGATCCTGCTGCTGTTATACTGATGAAGCAGCAAGATTTTTCCAGCCTTAACAAAAAGAAATCATTGTTAACATCTATATGCATTTATGCATCAAAAATTCACTTCTAATTTAAATAGGGGTATTTTTCTGGCAAATTCAACTGATGTGTCTTCTAAATTCTAAGGATTTCATAAAAGGCATCAATGCACTCTTAATACATGTACTTATATCAAAAGTGTCTTGGCAACATTCTGCAACAACAGCAAAGAATACAAGAATGTTCTTGTACAGGTATGTCATTTTTTTTTTCTCTTCAGTAAAGTGGTTACATTTCTCTTTTGCAATGGTTGTTAATTCAAACTAATAGTTACAGGTGCTGTTCATCTGCAGTCAACTGTGTCCATTTTTAGCTCTAGGATACATGAAATAGTGATCTTCAAATAGCTCTTTTTATACCTGCCATCCACTATTATCTGCTACTGCACAACTTGTTAACTACTTGCTGATCATCCTAGTAGATTTCTTGTAGTTGTTTTTTGTCTGTTATCAACACTGGATGACGTTTGATGTTAAAAATAGTCAAGACTGATTTTCTTTTATCATCCAACATGGCCACTGCTTTGAGGTATGAAATTCTATTGATCCTAGTGATCGGAGTCTTTAACTCTGTACGTTGTGTGTATGAACAAGGCCAAACACTCTTTGCAAATTATGATATTCATCCCAAATTGACAGGATCCCACTTGTCATGCTTGTGGCTTTGCAGTACTTACCACAAATTAACATGGTTAATAATTAAATGAAAATAAAAACCACTCTCGTAAAGTGGAACAAACATGGTAATACTTACCTGCTTCTTCCGAAGAATCAGCATCAACTCCAACCTGACATAACTGTCTTCATCGACATTCACCTTAATCCCGGTCCTAACAACCGTGGATGAACTGAGAAATCTTTCAGTAAGCTAACAGATGATTCCAACCAAATGTAATCAAAAACTCCTGTCAACAACTGTTTAGCCTTCGAAAATCAGCTCAAACTTCTTCACATCTCCATATTCTACATTCCCTGAAATGAACAGCGTGTTCCGATTTCATGGCAACTGAGGTGGTGGAAGACAACTAATGTTCAAATGCACCCATTTGGTTATGCTCTTGGCAAAAAAATTTCAAACGGACTCTCACTAAATCTGACCACAGTCACTATGGATGCGTTCGTGTCAAAGTTACCACTCGTGATGACCAGTATAACCCATCTAGCAGTCCTGAACATCAGCACTTTGTTCCTATAAGCTTCCAACTATTGGTCAAACCAACCTCTTGGTTAAGATCATCATTACTACCTCGTATGTTCCTCACTAATGTCTGATCTCTAAAAAACCAAGATTGATGACCTTGAAGTCACACTTAACTCCTAACGATGTTGATACTGCCAGTATTACTGAAACCTGTATTACATGTAATGACCCAGCATCACCACTGAATGAAAATCCCTAACTGTCAAAGTTAGTCCATTTTTATGTCTTGGAATTTTTTAACCTACGTGTAAATCTGTCTCCGTGCATCCATTATTATTCCTTGTTTTCCCTTTGTGCAAAATCTATGAAACCTGCTATTATACTTCACCATCGTTGATTTTTCATGACTTTTTGTAACAAAATTGCCACGGAGTCTGGGTCCCAATTTTTGGTGAACCCAGAACACATTCAGGTTATCTTTTTGTTCTTTTTGTTCAGTAGGAAAACACACCCCTTTGTACAATGATCATGGTAAACCCAAACCACTGTTCCTTTTCATGCAAATTTGTTTTTGTTGTTATATTGGAAAAAGCCAGTCCAGATGAACGCACATTTTTCTGGGGACGTAAAAAGCTGAGTGTAAGTGTTGAATGAGATCAATTCTTGCATTTGATGAAGAAGGGTATCCATTGGTGTGTTTGACGAGAGAGAGTTGCCACGTGCTGGCTGTGTTGGGTCGCCACCCGAACCAACAGGCAAGTGGGTACGGCTACCGTAGGTAAAGGGTTACCCAACTGAGATACTGAGGCTGTGGGCCAGAGAGTATAATATACGTTACGATACCACTGACACCCTGGTGAACTGACCAGTCTCCACATGGCTTCCACGTGAAGTTTAAGTGCATAATCCCCATGATTACCGTAAGTTTTATATTGTCAATATTGTTGAATTTGTATGAAGTCTGAATGTACTTGAATATGTTTTTATTGTAAGGTGTTTTGCCCTGCAAAAGTATTTAGCCCAGATTCATTGAAAAACAGAACTTTATAAAGAGTTGGCAGTTGATTTGTCATGTCTTGTGTGAATTTCGTTTCAATTTTTGGAAATCGAACAAAACTTATCATTGTATTTTAAAAAAGGACAGAAATTTGTAGATCTTTCAGTCATTTCAACTTTAGTAGATGATCATTGTTTTCCATGGTGGCAACCCGATGACTCTGAATGAGGTCTGGGTAAACCACTGGCAGTGAAGTCCTGAAGTCCTGGGCTTGATACTTGAGCTCACGCCACAAAATTGAACAGTTATTCCCTCTTGGAGCTAGCGACCATTGCTACATCCTCGTTGTGCCTGTAGGTGAGCTTTCTCGGCCAGAGACAAAGATCAATTAACAGCCCTACGGGGATTTGTCCCTCAGAACTTTTGGGTTATTGAAAATTTATTGAGACTGAAACAGTGCCCTCAATGAGCTATCAACTTCTAAACAAGCAGACATATTTTTTGAATGAGTTCACACCATATTGTCACCACGTGCCCTGAAGAAGGTACTCAGTTACTGAAAGCTCAGCAATCACATATTTCACAGCACTGATTTGATATTATATTCTCCTCAATATTCTGATCATGGTGCTACGTAGCCCTTCCATATTTTTCAGAGATAAACCTTGCGATGCCTCGCTCTATTAAATGCCTTGTAACTCAATGCCAGAGAGCGTATGCTGATAAAGACAACAATGCACTGTCGTATTGTGGCATTCTCTCCACAACAAACCTCGACATGCTATTAATGAGGCAAACGCTACATTTTATAAAAATTCAGTTGAGCTTTTGAAAAGCAACCCAGTTTGCAGCATCGATACATTCAGGAAATAAGCTGCCTGAAACCAAAACTGCCTAGTTTTCCTTGTGCTATGATACATGTACATGTAGGTCCAGTTGCAACAGCTGAAGCCATTAACAACCATTTTGCAAGTATTTGCAACGAGTTACTTCCATTGCAGTCCTCATTGTTTGCCATCGTACTTATCTGCTGAAGCTCCACCTCCCAAAATATACCATAACCAAGTCTTGAAAGCCCTGAGTAGTCTTAATTCAAAGAAGGCTGGTCACCCTGATGGACTACCCGTTTGGCTTATTTAAGAATTTGCAACTGAACGGGCAGATCCCTTGACGCATCTATTCAATTTTGCATTGCCGATGGTATTTTCCCTGATCAATGGAAAACTGCTACAGTTGTCCCAGAACCAAAATAAAAAAAAAATCATCCTTTGATAACCTCTGCCCCATTTCACTTATCCCAGTGTTTGCCTGTATTTTTCAATCCTTTTCAGCAAAATGGCTCCTACAGGATATCACTATCAAGATAGACTCTAAGCAGTACAGTACCAGGAAAGGCTGCTCCACCACACATTACCTCATTGACTTGTTAAACCAGGTCACTATGTTGACTTTGCACGATAGGTTTTACCAAGGCATTCAAGTGTGTTAACCACATTATTGTGATACAAAAGCTTAAAAATCTTGGTGTCAGATTATCGATTGTTCCCATAGTCTGTAGCTTTCTCTCAGGTCAAGCTTAATCAACATACCTTTAGTGTCCCTCAGGGAATAAAATTAGGTCCAATTCTTTTTCTTATGCTTGTCAGCGATGTGTGTAAGAGCTGTTGCAGACAATGAAAATATGTGGATGATCTGACTTTGAAGATATGAAATATGACAAAGAGCCCAAACTTCAAACTTACCTTTATTCTTTCGCTGCAATGGCAATGATGTTTTGCTCAAACCCTCTGAATACCAGTCTATGACAGTTTTTGACAGAGAAATACCCTAGGGTACTCTGTCAATTAACTCAATAACTAGGAATGTGTCACATTTGAAATTATTACATATTAGTATTACCATTCAAAAGGATCTGAAATGGAATTTACATATTCCTGCCATTGTCTCCAGAGACGTATATGTACGAGTCCGCATTTTGTTTAATGGGAGTTGAAAAAAGTTAGTTCTTATTTTTGTTAAAAAAGGTAAATCCTTCGAGCAAAGGCATGTCTGAAAACTGCCAATCTTGGACACTTACATATGATGGTCCACCTGGCAGTCAGAACATACCGGTAACTGTACTTGTCTGAAAATAATAGTCTGCTAAAAGAATTCTGGACCAAGCCCGATCCAGAACATTGGTGGGGTGCCCTTATTGCATGCAGCATTACACCTGAAAAATATCGCACCTTGATGCAAACGCTGGCACTGCATGCTAAAGGAAGTTAAACATGCTTTGTTTTCCCGTTTTCTTAACTACTTCAAAAGAATCGAGATATGGAATATTCAAACTGCCCATGAGTTAATAGTTGAAACAATCCAATCCACCTCCAGCCAGCAGCAGGAATAATCACTTCCAGCCAACTCTTCCAGCCAACTCTTCCAGCCAACTCTTCCAGCCAACTCTTCCAGCCAACTCTTGCTAGTACATGTAGGCTTTAATCCGGTATTAAAGTCTTTTTTTGCTCAGCTCTTGCTGTTCTCTGAGGGGCAATAAATTGATCCGCCTCGCTGACTTCAAAATGTGCAATCAGAAAGGCCTGTGTACCAGACTAGGGCCTAGGGCAGAGTGAATACCGGCCTGGCTTAATACCAGACTGGGTAAGGTTGGGCCCTTTCCATACCAGATCTAAATGGTCACCGTCCCTAAGCAAGGTAGTAAACTCAAGCCCACTATTGCACCTTGTCTTGTCATACCCAGATGTCATACTGAGCGATACAAGAAATCTACCATTCCATCACTGGCCAGATTTTTAAAATAGTCTGTCTCTTACGTATTAAGCCTTGTAAATTTATGTGCCAATTGACTTATTGTTTCTCCATTCATTTTTTCCTTGTATTTAATCATTATGTGGTATAGGCCTATTTCACTTTTTACATTTTACTGGACTCGCAGGAAAAATGGCTACAAAAACTGTGTTTTATTAAAACAATAACATGCATTGCAAGAGCTTTTGGTATGTGCCATTTTCATTAGACTTAGCTCTTCTGAATTGAAATATGAGAAAAAGTACAATCGTTGGAGTTGGTCTTTAACTAAATCTACCAGTTGTAATTTTGAATGCTTTCAGCCTTTAGGCTGTTTTTAATTCAAATAAAATAAACCATAATAATAATAATAAAAAATATACCTGAAGTCCAAGAAACGTGATGAATATGGAAGGTATTGAACCAAGGATCCCTTCTGGGTCATAATTCACAGTGGTGTGGTACACCTTCTTGCATGTCGGGTGTGGGTAGAGGTGCTTCTCACCCAGGATCCACCTGTCTATGTAGCCTGTGGCACCCCCTGTACAGTTGGTCAAGTTCATGTGGCCATCCACAAGAGGTCCCCCCGGGCCAAAGTAGCCCCTGAAATAGACCCAAAAAGATTACATTTATTATTAAGCTTTACCAATAACCTCTGTGCATTGAGCATGAGATGCATACTGTTGAAAGTTATTTTTCATTCTCTCACACTCATGGGAATTCTCATATCCCCTCAAAAAAATATTCAATATTTCCAATAAACACTCGAAAGTCAGAGTGAAAATACTTAGTAGGTTCACAATATTTTAGCTTTAAAAATCACTTCTGAACTAGTGAGATTTTTTAGCTACAGCAACGGGCTCTGTTGTAAGTTAAGCTTTTCCCATCATCCTATCCCTTCCATGGGTGAGTAACATGTACAGTGTACTCCGGTCTGGCAACAGACCACCTACACAGTGTGAAGCCATTATAAAGTTCAGAAGTGTAACATCATGTAGAGCCAGTGAATGCCACACAAACGAATGGAATACAAGCATGCATGGTTCAAGCACTGGTTCTCGCACTAATGCCTTTTACACACATACTGTGCATGTGACGTGGTCACTTCGGTACTCTATTGTCCTCATCCAAGAAATTTCACAGAAAGTTACTCAAGTGCGCCACATTTTAACCTTTTGCTGCCGGGGAACCCCGTTTTCAGCACCATGGGTTTATACTCAGAGACCAGGTGCCTGAAATGGGACAAAAGAGCTGGTCCGTGTAACAAAAGACTGTACTTGGAACAAAAGACCTGCTGCTGGGAATTGCCATCATTTTTCGGCTTGCAGTTTTTGAAGGTAATCCGTCACAGTTTTAAAACAGTATAGCACTGTTTTAAGCTTAGCGCACCCGCAGATTAGCACCACAGACAAAAGTGCACTGCTGCATGCTAATCAAGCCACGTTTGAAAAGATGCCACTCAAATTCACTGGAGACAAAAGAAATTAGGCAACACCTCACGATTCTGGGCTCTCTTTATAGGGCAACAGGCCTAGCTGAAATATTCAGGAGTCAATGAAGGTTACCTGTCAGCTTAGAGTAGCCACCAAAGAATCATTCATGTGGATGTAAACGTTTATTTTGAACAATTTTGAAAACCGAAAATCTTGAAAATTGCCTGTATGTGTGCACTGCATTTTTAAAAGCACCTGGCAGCATATGGTTCATAATATTAAAATATTATTAATATGTGGCGCAACCGAGCAAGCTTTCGTGAAATCGAATGCCAGTACATGTACACGTACATGTATACTGTGCAGTTACGGCACAAATTTGTGGCACAAAGCTTATGCATGCTTCAAAGTTATGGTATGTTTCATGAAATCAGCTGCTGGCCTGTATGTCCCACTTTGAACCCATTCAAAAAGAAAGACCCATATGCACACTTGGAGATTACACTTTGAGCATATTTGAAACCCCATTCTTGCACTGGATGAACATGAGAATGGGATTTTCCCAATGAAAAGCATCAACATATGGACATGTTGATAGGCATTTCTGTCGACAATGATTGCCAGACTTACACATAGAGCAAGTGAACATTAATTTTCTCACATGAAATTGTAAGCACTCATGATAAGGAAAATTAAACCATAGGTTTATATACATGTATGATAATACAGAGAGTTTATCTTTACCAATTTTCATTATATTATGAGGCTATTTTGGGATTTGGTTGTCTTAAAATTGTTAGTATCATCCAATCTTTTCATTGTATGTTTTAATATGGCGAACTTTCTACCTTGAGTTTTTATCCAGCTGCACTCTATTTGTAGTTGGGCATTCATAATCAGCAACACTGTTACTGAGTCTCTGGAGAACAGGGTTTTGGATAAGCCTTTTAGTATGGGGACCTAACATACATTGTACTATTGTGCATTGCTTACGTTGGACATCCTGGTACCGGCAGAAAGAAAACAAGACAGACATATAGGACCATCAATGATATTATAACCAGCCATTCATGCCAATAGTCAACCAGATCGCGAAACATCAGACGGTACTGCTTCTGAAAAGAATAATACATGTATAATGTGAGGCATTCCTGCCAAGAAATTCAGTCAAGGAAACTGTAAAGATCAGTCTTCTTTTAATATGGGCAGCAATATGAATAAAGTGAGTTTCTCACAGAAAGCTGTAAGATCCATCATACAGCCATAAGGTTAAGAAGGACTTTGCAAGATTGAGGAAGGCAGTACCCAGCCCATGATTGGGTTGATCAGCATATAACTACTACGAAACTAGTAAAGGCTAATTCATCGGGTGCGAGAAAAAAACAAACAAATCAAACAGACCCTAAGAATGTTATCATGGAAAAGGAACTTAAACTGACTGTGATACGGTAGTCCTCAACCTTTGGTTTGGCAGATACTAAGTGCAGGCTTGCCACAACAAGATATGATATTGCAAATCTCTGCAGGACTCCTGGAACTCGGAAAGTGCTCAGATCTGTTCCACCTGCAAATCAGACAATGAACAAAAAATGAGTCACCAAGGAGAGACTTGGTATAGTGAAGCCACAACATGGGCTCTTTTCTACGAGTTCTATGAGCAAATGGGCCATTTTCTGGAAAATGACGCTGCTGTCACACACTTGACAGTGACTTTTTTCTCAGTACAACGAAACACTTATGATATCTTTTGAAAATAAATTAACAATTATAAAGGAAGGCACATGAATGGAAAATCATGAAAAGAATGAAATGTGGGCTTGGTCAAGGGACCCATCAAAGCTTAACATTTCAAAGTATTACTATAATACAAAATATGTCACCCCTTTTTGAAGGTGGTGTACACCGTTGGTAAAATCCCAAAAATCGGACTACCGTATAATCCTGATCTTACTTGAAAGTACATAACAGTCTCAATCAGACTGTAAAATATTTTCACCCAGAATGCTGTAATTTTCGAGAAAACAAAAAGTTTGTTCTCTTTTTTACGATGATTGGCTGACCATCGTAACGGGGTTAATTTCACTTTGTACACCACATCCTTTTAATAGGCGCCAATTTCTTTTACGCAGTGTTTGCAGATGTTGTGGGAGTCTCCATTATTATAATGAACGGATAAACCGAAAGCAGCTAAAACAATACCGACATTCTTTCACCAAAAGCACTGTGAACTGAAATTATAGATACCCGAGTGTTAGGCGTAAAGTAGAAAATAGATTGGATCAGTGTGAAGTTAAATTTTATTTAAGGAAATGTTTTTTAATGCAAAAACTTTGTGAATCCTAAATCACCCCTAGAGCATAATGGTATCATCTAATATGGCGGCTGTATGTTTTTTAATGCAAAAACTTTGTGAATCCTAAATCAACCCTAGAGCATAATGGTATCATCTAATATGGCGGCTGTACATTTCCAAGTACGATGATTTTCGTTAACATAAAGTACAATTTCTGCATTTTTATTTTTCACAAAGCAACTGACTCAAAACATGAAACAAGCGAGTGGAATGTAAGTTGCAGTGAATATTATACACCATAATCAGGAAACTTGTGAAATTACAACAAAAACCAATGGTGTACACCTACTTTAAAAGACAAGATAAAAACACAGCTGAAGGGAATTACTTTTTTGTGATTTTCTTAGAAATAAACAAAAACATCAAGTCCATCATGCACTACAAAACTTACTCATACTATCTAAGCTTAAAATCACCAATTCAATGTAAAAATCAGTGTACAATTTAAATGTCTTAGTTTAACACGTAACTACAAATGCACATATTTTTACAGTGACCTGTTTCACATCATTTATGAAGAGCAAGAATATGTATTAACATACCCACAGGTATGCTGATTTTGCTCTCCTCGTAATGTTACCGTACATTTTAATGTCAGTCTTTAGAAAATGAATTCTTCAATTCTGCCCTGTAATTGACAACTTCAATGCCCTTGATGAATATTTCAATGTTGTTCAAAAATGTAAAGGCTGGATGTTATTTCTCCTTTTTCTGCTAATGAAATGTATCAAAATGAAACACCCGACTCCACGGGAGCATTCCAGGATCATAACAAACACCTGTTCAAGGTGTTTGGGGTCCATTTAGCATCTATTGGAGTCGCTGATTTCTCAAAGCAGCTGTGGTTATCTTCAAAATAGCAATGGGGAACATCTTCATGTTCAAAGTACATGTACATGTGTGTTGAAAGGCTTTCAGTCCACTAAAGGTTAAATCAGTGGTGTATACGTACATGTAGGTTGTGTGTATACCATACATAAGATTCTGTAACGAAATACATCATGTACATGTATACAGGCCTGCCACTGATGTTGCGACAGCTTGTCAAACTGGTTGCTAGTTAACTTCTATAGGGTACTGTGGCGAAACAGGGTAGCTGCGCAGATTTGTGTTTATAGTCTGGGTCATTGATAATTCAGGCACATCTAAATCATGCATTAAATATGCGCACGGCAACCAATTAGGTCTGGGCGCTGGCTGCATGGGTTGCCGGGACTTCAAAAGATAACAGGGTGCTAACCAGAGCTCTGTGGAGTTGTGTTGTGTTCTGAGTTTCGAGCTTCAATCTGACATACGACCGCTGGTGGATGGGGATCTACCTCAAGTATACCTGGTGCGACCGGTTAGTGTGGTGCTTGTTCTCAGTTGCCGGAGCTGCCGATTATATCAGATCTCTTTGAAGATTGGGAGATTTTATTTAAGAAGTGGTAGATTATAGGGTTAGGGAACCCGTGTGAACCAGTTAATTGAGGAATTAGCGGAGTTTAGACTAGAAAGATTGTGTGCCGTTGTTCCATGCTTGCTGGCATAGCGACGGTTGGTTGCGGTCCTGGTCTGGGAGCTTGCTTTCCTCGTTGAGGTTTACTGGGTGCAGGCTTCCGTTAGAGTCTGGTGAGAACTATTATAATTGCCTTCTAAATCAACTTACTTGTGTTATTTCGTAATAACTTGAAGTGGGTGAGGGTTATTTAATTCACCTTGAACCTTGTAGTTTGGGAATTGTGTTGCTTCGTAAGGCATGAAAAGATTTTTGTTATATAAGTCTACCCTGTTGTGTTGTATAATTGCAAAGATTGTTTTTGCTTGTGTGGTCAAGACTTATCGGTTATAAGCTAATTATTTATTTAGACTTGAGGGTTACCTGGTTATTTTGAGGGTTACCCTGATCACTGTGAGGGTTCCCTGGTTATTGTGAGGGTTACCCTGATTGCTGTGAGGTTTACCCTGATCACTGTGAGGGTTACCCTGGTGTAGATTAAGGATAAGGTTGATTAATCACGTTCGTGGTGCAGTTGACCACGTAGGACTTCCTCCCCGTGAGTAATTTTGTACATAATTAATTGCTGTTGTATATAAAGGATAACTGAGCACTGACATTGAACAAACCAATCATATAATTGCCTTAAAAATCACTGGTCACCATGAGATTTAGTTCAGTCCTGTATCACTTATTGACATTTATTGTAATCTTTATTGACATCGGAAACAATAACTTAATCACAGAGCAGCGGTAAACTTCCACCAAACGAACAGCCCCTAAGACATAGTCCACCGTTCGTTAACTGATATCCCCCTTTGCGTTTGGATAGCCGCTCATTAATGCGTAAGGTTAAATAAATATATTTGTGGGGTTAGGCCAGGTCAATTCTATCTCCGATCAGGCCAGTCTGCTAGTCCGCCACAAAAAGGTGTCAGTTGTCCCGCCACAGTACTGTGTAGGGACTGGAAAGCAGGCCCACAAACATAATCGAAGCAAGTACAGACTGGTGCATGGCACACATCATGTAGGTGAATGTCTGTATGCACCAGAGCAAGTCACACCAGTCAGTTTTGCTAATCAGGCCCCACACGACAATATGAAGAAAAACTAAAGTAATATTTTGATTAATGTAAAGCATGGGGGTGACCCTTAATCCAAGGTCACTCACCCTCCCAAATTTTATATTGATTTCTCATCAATGTCAAAGATCAGAGACTTTCTTCCCAAGGAGTCCAAATCCGTATATTGTGTCCCCTGCATTTGTGTATTATGATATATTTACACAAATGTACATGTATTAAAGAACACCGCAAATATTTTGAAAAAATTCAGGTGACATTAGGTTAATTTTCCAAAGACTAACCCAGTATCCCCCACCATTGAAAAAGATGGGTTGGGTGCCCCTTGTTAGCTACCATGCTTTAAGCCTTTCCAAAGACACTATGTTTGTATACAGTCAGAGCATGCATCATCTGCAATCCATGTGCAAGAAAGCATATGTACATGTACATGACATTGTAGAAACAAAAATGGTGTACTGATCAAAACATGCTCTCTTCTTTACCATGTTTACGCAGTAGTGTTACAGCCAATGACTGTTGAAACATGCTCGACGCAAGGTAAACACAAAATGCTGTCATAACACAACATAAACTGTTACTTTTGCAACCCTCAAAAAAAAAATCGAACATTGAACTATGTCAATGCTCTAATGTATTTCTTGAAATAACTGTAGGGTACATCAAGCAAATCCTCTGAAAGCAAACGTGCAATTTCCCTCAATCTAGAGACTTGGCTGATTCAGTAATACTGTATCCTGTATGTTAGGTCTTAGCTGTCTCATGACCAGTCTTTTTCAAACATGGCACGTATGTAAAGAAATACCGGTACATGTACATTATGAGTACATCTACATGTATGCTGTGAAACATCAATTCAATCCAACAAAAACTGTTGTTAAGATCACTTACGGCTCTCATCTTCCTGCATGTTAGCTGCTACCGGTGCTCTGAGCACATATAGTGTATTAATGGGAAAGGAAACACTATGATCTGTCCTCTTGCAATGTTACAGTTTCATAATTGCTCAAAATGAGCCAATCTATTCAAGATGACTGCTACAAATACCTGAATACACTCACCATCTAGCATGATGCCTAAGCCAAATAAGATGAGGCTCCGTCGTATAATCTTCTTCAAAATGGTCCATTGAGATACATTGTGTCTGATCATGCTACTGAAGGACAGTGACATTGACGTGCCCATAATAAATACAAACCTAGGACAGAAACAGAACTACAGTGTGAAAGCATGGAAAGTGTGAGGAATGTAATGTGGATTTCATTTACATGCACATCATCCTGTGAGGCATTTTCGTAGGGAACTTGCCTGAAATTGCAGGAACCCTTGTTTACCTCCTTATTTGCCCTCCATCTTTTTCTTAGGAAAAGTTTGGATGATTTAGATTGAACACAAAATAGACATCCAAGCATGTGACTTGGAGGTCTGCAAACAAGGGAAATTCCAAATTACATAAGACTTTGTATATTCAGGGTTTTTTGTTTGTTTTTTAATATACAACATACATGTACATGTAACTGGGAAGTATAAAGGTGCACATTTGTCGCACCTATTTCCCCATGCCATTTTGTCGTGTCTGTTAGGAGGAAACCACTAAAGTCCTCCAAATGTTGCGTAGGAAACCAAAGGCACATTTATAGCAAAGTTGATTTAGAAGACTCTGGGAAGGCTGGGGTTACATGATCAGTACTGGCCTGCGTAACATAAGTAAAAAGAAACACTTCCAGTCAAAAAAGTTATACACGGACGGCACAATTAATGACTATCAGGAAGTCCTTTGGGTCTAGCCAAAACTTCAAAGGTTATGAAGTAGCGAGGGAAAAGGAATGTCAAGCAGAATCTGTATGGTACAGCACAGCCACACGGAAGACTAGTCAAAGGTTGTGCAATCTTTCTTCCTGCACATTACACTAATGATCTGTCGGTGTGTAGGAAATCAATTTCATCAACAGCACTCACAACATGTCTTGCACTTTGACATTTGGTGTATACTACATTTCTTCGTGGCTTATGGCAGCAATCAAAGGCATGATGTTTTTGTATTGGCTAGAAAACAAAATGTGTAATCTTTTCCTTGCATGATTAACTTATTTGATCTCGTCTTTTGAGAGTGCCAGGCCCTTTTCTCCCAAAATGAAAGATATAATTGTGTAAGGCATACAATGTACAAAACTGTAGGTGTATTTCATCAATTTCATGAATTTCCTTACAAAATAAAAAAAATCTACGCTAGCTGGTTTACAGAGCTGAACTTGATCATAAATTTTCATTGTAACTTTCACAATTTCTCTTGAATTGTTTGTCCTGTCTACTTGTCATTTTACCTCTGAGACAGATTCTGCTAGCATCGAAACATCAGGCCCTCCATAGTTTTTTATTTGTATTTTAGGTAACTGTAGTCAGGATGCACTTTGCAGCAGTTTTGTATTACATATCTCTGTTACTATATCCCTTTGTGATGATCCTCCTTGCTGTCCTGTAAGTTTGTCCTTTTTGTTTGGGATTTATTCCTGTTGTTTCCTGGTTTTATTGCAGCATTGTCATCTTGTCTGTTTTTTGTCCTAATGATATATTCTCCCCTCTCTACAGGTAATTGCAGCGTCTTCTTTGTTTCGTCTACTAATGACACTACTATTCTCTCCCTCCCTGCAGGTAATTGCAATGTTGTCATCTTCTCTGTTGTATATAATACTGATATTATTCTTTCCCTCTCTACAGGTATGAACAACCCCATGTTTATTTTAACAGCTCCATAAAATGAGAGAGAACGCCCTCCACTAAACCCACCACCAGGATAATTACAGGTTCTTTGCCTTGTCACGTCTTATTCCCACAGGTTTACAACTCTCATCCACCCCATGCTTAGGTACCCTCTCTCCTCACCTGCAGAAAAGATGGAATCAAGTTCTCCATGGTGCCTCTATCCAATTACTCAATATTCTTTCTCAACAGTATCAAATCACAATTCAGAACCACCATCAGGACATAGCCCATCTCGATTCAGAACTTAGATCTGTCTTGATACTATGAATAGTAACCTGTGCATCGAAATGGAAAGAGGCCTCACTAATCTTGAGTTTGTTCTTCATGTCAGGAGGAAGAAGATAGGTGGCATTTTGGCCAAACAACAACATAGGCATAGATGTTTCAGGTATCCTAAGCTCCAGCCCTTACCATCCACCACCTCCAAAACTGTGGTCAACCTTTCTTCTTCGTCTATAACTGATGCTGAACACTAACTTCTCTCCAAGGGTCTGAAGTTCTGTCCCACTTCCCCCACAGTGAACCAGGTAGAACTCTGTCAAGATCTCACTGAATACTTCCGCAGGACACGAATTTGAGAATTTTTCTTTGACTCTGCTCTGTGCGACACAGAGCCCTTCCATGTCAAAAGCATCTGACCCCATACAAGCATGCTCACAACAGATTCAGCAGGTATTCTGGGGCAATGCTCACAAGTTCTCCATGTTCTCAAAGTTCTCTATGGCCTGATCCTGCTAAGCAAAACACAACTTATCTGCCCAGGTTCTAAGTACATGTATTAACAATGATCACAAACATCAAAGCTATCTCACAATGGGCAGCTTATTTTTTTTTTTTTGGAGGGGGCTATGGGTAGAATCCTTTGGCTGGGATGTACTTGGCCACAACAAGGCAGGTCTCACTGAAAGAGAATCCATTGTTAAGGGCCAAGGATTAAAAGGCTCACAGGTCGAGACATAGCTTCAGCGAGCACCAGTTATTCAATGACTAGCTCACGTCCACCATTTTGTTGTGATCCCTAATCAAGCAATGCTGCCTGAAGGATGATGGGTTCATACATGTCATTGCAGCTGTATGGAAAAAGGAGAGGTACATGTACATGTATTTCCCTAAGAGCTTTCAAAATCCACTGATGGGTTCAACAGATTTTGCAGCACTGAAAAAGGCACATGTACATATCTAAGCCACTATTACTCCATGAGGGGATCCAAACAGATGCTATTTGAAAACTCAAGTTTAACAAGCATGCCATTGGTTTCACGTACAGAGGAGTCAGGCATGCAACTTGGACTTTGACAAAAAAAAACAAGGAAATTCCAATCTTTACAAGACTTTGTACGGTGTTTTTCATTATTAATGGCATAAGTGATAAGTGAAAAATGAGGAAATCAGCTGATCCCAGGAAAAGTTGCATGCCTGAAGAGTTTGTTTGAGGACTTGCATACACTTGCAGGAAAGTTCCTAGCACAAATGAATCGGGAGCTGGAGTTTAGGAATGCTTCTCTAAGTATACATAGATTGTAACATTGGTGGATACTTCTTTAGATTAAACATGAGATGTTGCAGAAGTGCCCTCTCTTTCACACACAGACCCTAAAGCCGAACCACTGCCTTTTGTGGCAGCAAAATTCCTAATTACATGTACATGGGAGATATGGTTGGTACAGAATTGAGCTCCCACCAACTACTGCACACAAAGAAGGACTTACCATGGGAAGACCAAATCTGCAACAGTTAAACCTGAAAAGTGATAAAACAAAATCAATGAACAAATTTTGCAAACCTCTGAACTCTGAATCAAGTCACTCAGGATATCTTTGAGGACCTAGAAAATGACACGTTCTGTAGGAACTCACACTACTAAAAAAAACTAAATGTAACTAACCAAGGATCATTGAAGGAAAATGCTGCAAGCAACTGAATAGAAACAAAAGACACAAACTTCTAAATTTAAAAAAAAAACGGACAACAAAGAATTTATTACAGAAATATCACAAAAAAACAAAGACTTGAAAATGAAAGAAATTACTTAAAGAAATTACAATTAAACTAGAAATGTGTTTGTGGACAAACACAGCTGCTTTCATTTGAAACCAGTGATGAACGCCTTACAAGATTAATGACAAGAACACATACATGTAGATGATATATTGCAAACATTTAATGTCACGTGGATTGTCACTTGACCTGTCACACGAAGAAGAAATCATCTTATGATGTCAATTTTCATCTGAAGCACATCTATTTCTAGCCATGTGCCAAGTTTCAACTGAATCGGACTCGTACTTCATACAAGTACTTCATACTTCTTACAAAATATTAAAGAAAAATTGCGTTTGTGCTTTAGGGCATTTTACTATTGTAATTTATATAAAACCAGTTAAGGTTTTTTTGCCATAAAGATTTCCAGACATACTTAAGAAGAACATAGAAACACATTGAAAATATCAGGATCTTGTGAATGCTGAAAACTTTGCATAATGCTTCCAACGTATGTATTCATAATTTCTGCAGTAATCTTGAAAAGAAATGTCAGGGACATACACACATATACATGTACAATTTATGTCCTATTGGTTGCAGTTTTTTCAGATAAACTTGGTATTTTGATGAAGTCCTTCTGTAGAACATTCTCAGTATGAATTGCAGTTCCATCGATGACACCTCGGACACCAACATGTCTAAAGACTTCCTTCATGTGCTGGTGAATAGTCTTCTGCGTAATCTAAATAAAGGAAACAAATAGTTCATTGTGCATCAGTTCATATGTTGATGAATGGAAAAAAGGTGTCAGAACTTTCAGCACTTTTGATATCACTTGGCTACATGTGAGTATGAATATTACAGTGGAAGACTGGACACATGGATGTTGATGAGTAAGGGATTTGCATTAGTACATGCATGGGTCCCCTCCCTTTTGCTTATGACTACATTAATCAGAACTGGCCATCTCTTGTGCATCAATATCCAACAGCAGGCCTTGTCACCACCTTCTCTTGCTTGGTTGTCCAACAGCTTCCTTTATCTTGGCTAGCCATGCTTCTGATATGTACATGTAACCGCAGTTATGTTGCATTCTAATCACTGAAACTAACATCATGGAGAACAGATTTATCTCTAGCTTTCACTTAAGCAGCAGTATGAAGGATACCTATACACATGAAAAAAGAGCGGGGCCTCACACTAAAGTGGGGGGGGCTGACTGGATGTTGGACAGATACATGTACATAAACATGATCACTCAGGATATGCTGGTGGGAGGGCCACTGGGGATCAATGATTTTTCATAGGGGCATGCGCACCCCCCACATGCCCACCTTAGTCACGCCGTTGTCTGTATGTCAATGCAACAGTACATTTTTTCACCATTACCTGTTAATTTCCTTGAACCAGTAATAATATGGTTTTTGTCTTTCAGGAAAATAACAATGAAACATGCACATTGAGTGTTTTGAAAAAGTGAAGGAAAAAACTGCCTGCCTTTTCCGGCCTTTTTTCTGAAGTGTACGTACGCGTAATCATATAAAAACCACTAACTTCTCTTCTGTCTTGAAGATTTCCAGACACATCAAATGACATGGGGACCAGTTGCAAATATCAGATCTTATGAATGCCAAAAACGTTGCACTATTCTTCTGAAACCAATTTAACCACTTCCTGCCTGGGCAGTTATCAATGTTGATGATGCTGGGGTGGGATATTCATCATTTTTTTCTGTTTTAAAAATTCTTTAAAAATTCATATCTTCATTTACTGGACACATACTCACTCATGAAGGACTGTCTGGTGTCCACTCTAGCCTGACAGACAAAATCTATTGATGCCTGAGTAATTCAGCCAGGCCTGCAGCCTTGTAAAAAGAGCCCAGATTATGCATTGTTATATAATTTTCTACTGACCTCTTTTCAATAGGGGCCAAATTAGCATGCAGTGGTGCTGTGAGGCTCATCGCTGCGGTGTTGGGGCACTTTTGTCCCTGGGGGTAATCCATTCACTTTAAATGCCCCAAACTGTGGTATACTGTTTCAAAACAAGGATGGATTATCTCCACTTTTGAGACTGAAAAAATGTTGGTAATTCCCAGCAGCCTGGTCTTTTGTTCCGAGTACGGTCTTTTGTTACAAGGCCCTGTTCCCTTTGTCCGAGTTCAGAGACCCCGGCCACACATATAAAGCAAACAAGTCCAGATCCGGAATCCCGGCTGGAAGAGGTTAAACAATTTCTGCAGTTGTCTTTCAAAAATTATAGTAGGTACGTGTACACAAACAAGTAAATCTCACTTCCTGCTGGTTGCAGTTAAAGATCTTGTAACGAGTACTTTGATGAAGCTGTTCTCAACATTCTGTGGATCAGTCCTGCTTCAAACTCCATTTCCATTAATGACAATGGGGACATCCAACATGTATGAAGACTGCCTTCGTGTCTGTGCTGATGAACATCTGTATCAGAACAAAAAGGAAAACATTTATTGCAAGTGTTGCAGGCCATCTGTTAATGCATGGAAAAGCTGATGTCAGACCTTGGACACAAAGTGTACATGTATAGCAACCTTGAGTTCTCACTAAACGAGGAGTAGGTGGGCAATGTAAAAAGGGGGATCAGGAACATGGATGTTGAATTGTTGATGAGGAAACCATTTATAATGGTGGTACATGGATGTACTCACCCCCACAAACACACAGACACAAATGTTGCTTTATGAATGCATTAATCAGAGCGGCCAATTTGTATGTCAAAGCAGCAGTAGGTCTTTTTACCATTACCTGTTAACTTCCTTGCTTGGTTGTACAGCAGCTTAATTTATCTTGGGGAGCAGTGCTTCTGATATCTACTTGTAACTGCAGGTATGTTGAATTCCAATCATTGGAACTAACATGGAGAACACATTTATATGTATCTCTAGCTTTCACTTAGGCAGTAACACAAAGGATACCTATACACAAGATGCAAATAAGGAAATCAAAATATTCAGAATAATCAGCTTACATCAATATTAAATAACCACAGGTCTACATTCAAATTTCATACATTTTTGGATGTTTACCGTAGGCCTGTAATGACATGGTGTCTGCCTGGGGGGCATACATAAGAAATACAGTATGCAAGGTGAGTGTTTCAGGGACTTCATTTTGCAGCGCAATCGTAAAACCTGTGCAAATTTGTTGTACTCCATAGGCCATCCTGATTTGATTTGCCTTTGAATAAAATCTATCATACTAAAATTATTGAATAATGAACTCAGGAACAGGTATAATGAATGTACGTGCAAGTTGATCTCTTGATTGTGCTGAAAAACTAGGACGTACTTGACCATTGTCAATGCTAGTCTGAGCAACTTGAACTCAAAAAATTATCTTTTTTATCATTTGGACATGGTCGCTGGACATGGTCTGAGCAACCATGTCGAAACATTGAAAAAGGACATTTGTAGAGTTCAAATTACTCAGAATATGTCAATGCAAATTCAGAGCTAGTGTGAGTCAGTTCTGTTTCCCCTAACATTACTATCCAGAGCTACAGAATACAGAAAGGGCAGACAAAACTTTCAACTGATAATGTTAATTGCCTACCAGTTCCTGCAGTTCATCCAGCTTCCAAACCCAGTTGCTTGCCACACTACAGTCTGCTTGTTTGGTACACTCATGCTCACGATAATTGGGATCATGCCTATCCCGTATTCGGTGTCAACTCCTTGGCCGCAATTTCCAACTCCGGTCCATAAATTTGGTTTTAGTTCAGCTTTTGTGGGATTAAGCCTACCTTGGAATCCTCTGATCAAGAAAAGTCCAAAAAGAATTCAATTTGTGCCATTTCAGGAATGGGATGTCCCAAGAAGGTCTCAACAAAACACATGGGCCCATCGAAACTATCCATGTGTTGACAGGACTGCAAAAATATGGTTGATATGCTGTATGCAGTGGACAATTTGTGTCAAGTACTGCTTTGAACAACTGGTTGACCCAACATAAAATCACGGAGTTCATTTCCCTAAATACTTAACACGATTTGTCACAACCTTCTAGCGACATTATCTAGAAATCATGTAATAAGACTGTACTGAGCAACCACGCTAAGGTTGACCAATCGCACAGGACCGCGGATCGCGCATGGATATACTGCATGTAAGCATAAACTGTGTATATATAAAGTCAACAGGTTTGAAAATGTGTACAAAGTCAAAGGGACAAATGATATCTTCAAAATTAAATAATAAATCATTTCATGCTGTCAAAGTGACTTAATGCTTCTAGGACTATCTATGCTGTATTGGTCTTTGCTTAGACCAAATTTCATTTGGTGGAGTAGCCGAAGTCCATGCCATTCTGGCAGTTGAAAAATGTGTTTAAAACCTTCAGGGAAATGAAATATTCAAAATTCTATAAAAAATCAGCTGATGACGTCATCATGACGTCACGCTTCACAGTACATCTTTGCTACAGGGTCTCTACTTGCTGCAACTTTGATGAAGTCACGAACTTGCAAAGGGACTAAAGTGCAGTACAGAAAAACCCTGTACAAAGTGAACAGGGTTTGGCAGAAGCACATGGAGAAGAAGAAGAAACTAGACCTCTGTGCATTTGTCTTGTGGACAGAACACTTAGGCCGACTAAGAAACTGGCTGCAAAAATGAGTTTTGTTCCAGCAATACTGGGATACTTTTTGAATGCATAAATGTGAGGTTCTGTACATCCCAAACATTACGTCAAAAGTTTTCCCCCAAAAAAATCCTGCGGTTTTTCAGTAATTCTATCTCAAAGTTTGCCATACTCCTGTATGCCAAAAATGGACAATATCCGCTTCTAAGGCTGTGTGTGGGCACTTCCAACTTCAAAATTAGAGAACTGTGATTATGTCAAACCTTCAATATTGTAATTATATCCAAAATGGAGATGAAAATGTACTAAATTGCTGACAGCAGGGGAAATACATTTACAGAACTTCACTCAATGTACTCATAACGTGTTTATGTTTCCAAGGCCCCCCGAACCAGTCATTTTGTGCTAAAAATGGCTTCCAATTCCAAATCAAATGACTGTAATTTAAATTTTGATGTGATCATCTGAACCTGGGCCATATGATTATGAAACAAGGCATTTAGAAAAATGTCCCCAAAAAGTTAATCTCACTGGTTAGTTAAATTGATTATCAAAAGAGCGCATTTAATTTAGACGTACATGTCATGCTATTTGTTTACATGCAAATAAAATGCCATAATGCTAAGGTAAAAGAAACAACTCTAATGAACAGGTCAGCTACAAAATCTAAATGCTTTGTAATTTCTTGAAAAGACAATACTGAAGAGGGCTACGAATTGGAACCTTGGAGCATCTTCTCATTACTATCCATCAAAAATCATCAAGCACAGAGTCATTCTGTCCTGTAACAGTGTATGAAGAGGTGGGAGCATCTGTGCCAGTTTCCAGATCAATCATGTCGGTTGATAAATCATCCTCCAGAGTGTCCAGAGATTCGGTTACACTTCTTGATGACAATGTGGATGAGTTGACAATCTCACACTTGTTTCTTGAGAAAGTTTTGTGAGAACAGAGCTCAGGATAATATCTTTTGAGCCAATATTTCAACTTGTCACTGTATCAGGAGAAATAGTTAAAATTAGATGGGTTAATATTTGATGAAAACAAGAGTTAATAATAA